ACATACACAAAAATGATGATAATAATAATAATAATGCGATGATGTATCCGACGCGGCCGGTTGCTGTCGACGGACAACGGTTTTTAAGGGCGCGCGCGCCGCCGCCGTCACTTTCTACCCCCTTCCACCACGGCCACGCCTGCCGTCCAATCGGCACCCCGGACCACTCCCACTTCGCCGAGTTTTTCGCGCCCTCCCGGCCAACACCGCTCCGCCGACGGGGTCGCAGCTAAGGCAACAGCAGCACCAGAAGCAGCCGCAGTCGACTCTCGTTSAAGTGGGTTGCTCGTCGACGACCACTGTACCGACGACCCTCATCGCATTTCGAGTGTCCGACTCGAAGACCGCGTCTTTCTCCGATTCTCGACAGCTCTCGTCGTGTACGATTATTACAACTATTATTATTATTATTATTATTATTGCTATATTATATAGCATACGTATAACCACCGCAAACGTGATATATTCATGTACGTGAGTGCGTAAATATTGTCTTAATATCGATTTCGTGTACTTGACAAACATCGGCCGCGGTGTACACGGATAAGATTTTTTTTTCTAATAATACGATTTTTATTTTAATATAAACCACGAGATCGTCTTCTTCGCCCGCGGATCGCCGGGCACGTGCGACGCGGCGCCCGTCTTTCGATCACAACGGTTTATACGTCGTATAATATTATTACCGATTTTTTGTCATTCGTATATTCTAGGTGATATACGCCTATATATAATATATACATAGCAAGTGCGACTCGGGCATAGAATATTTTGCACGTGACCGCGTTCGCAATCATGTCGGACAGCGAAAGCCCGAAACCCGCGGATGAGGTGCTCTTGCACCATCACCACCACCACCATCCGAGGATACCGCCGTCGCTGCTCGCGTGGTGTCCGGCCATCATGCCGCCCTGGTGCTCGCTGCTTCCGGCCGCCTGGTGCAATCCGGCCGCCCTCAGGTCCGCTTTTCCGGGGTCAGTATATGATTTTATTGTTATGGTCGCGCAAGTGTGTAGGGCGTAGGCATTGCATCGAATAAGAAATCTGTATTCAAACGTWAGGCCGCTAAATAATTATATGGTCGATATCACGGTTATTATTACGATGTGACAATTATTATCGCACGTTCGTACGGTATACACCTAGTATGTGGTAATACAGCCCCATGGTATAACAAACATGACGCGTACACCGGGTTTTCGGCATAATATACAGACATGTTCAGCATATCATTAGGTAATGTAAGTTAATGATAGTAAAATATGTTCAATGATACATATCAAATATAAGTTCGTATATAGACTCTCGCACCGATATTTTTATTTTAGATGAGGTTTTTAAATAAATGATATTACCTAAATTTATACTTTTGAAAGACACGTTATATAGGTACATACCACCAGTTACAACACACTAGTCGTGTATATCCGGTATTGTGAAATATTTTGGTTACCGTGATGGTTACGCTGTACTTAACGTTTTCTACATAAACATACGAACCGCAATTTTTTTT